AGATAATAAAAGTCTTGTTGAGATTGCTACTTGCCTTTAAGACATTTTCAGCAGATTCCTCATTCTATAACTAAGTTTTCAATGAGGACTGGGAAATGTCTGGAGTACTGCTTTTCTTTAGCAAGACATCAGTGCCTTTTGGCTTTGTGGGACCACCAGGAACTTTCTGATTTCACCATCTAGTGCCCCAATATCTATGTGAAACCTCAGTAGCTCACTGTTGTACATGAATTCCTTGCCACCATTTTCAAGGTGGGTTAGTATTGTGTCCCTTGCTGTGGTACTTGGCTCAGATGCTCCTCTGCTTTGGCTTGAAACCCTGGAATGCCCTGGGCAGGTCACAGGTATCTGACTCCCCATGGTCATGGCTGAGCTCACCATTATGGCTGGTTGGAAATCTCTTAGTTTTGAGTCGAGAGGCCTTAGGCAAAGGGAGTGATCACTCAGTTTCTCCAGTCACCTGTGGATGTGGGCAGAGCAGGAGGGAAGTCAGGACTGCCATCTGGGATGTGGGTGTTTTGGGGTGGCTAACCAGGGAAGTGAATCCCACATGGACTGACCTGTCCCAGGCTGATCAAGTTAAGGGTCTCAGGTCAAGGGCAGGATAACCATGAGACTCCAGCTGCCAGACAGGTCATCAGGACACTTTTACTGCATTGTTTCAGATTCTTCATGGGGCAAAAGAGAGTTGCACATCTATTGAATTCTACCACCTGAGAATCCAGTGTGTGTTTTCTGACCTAATAGTACTACTTTAAGTAGTTAACCTGGAGGAAGACTAATCACCTATGGGAAGTTTGGTATTAAAATTTGGATCTATCGCTCTATAAGGGATAAAATACTGAACTCCTTGAACAGATGTCTAGAAAACTTACATAGTCTGAGGTCTAAAGTGCTTTCCTTGTGTGTTCTGCATTAGTGTGGGAGCATCTGGCGAGCACTCTGGAAGATGTGAGAAATCAAGGATGGTAAACTGGAAGTAGATGTGGATGTGAGGGGTGGTATCCCAGACTTGTAACTTCCCCAAAGTGCTTAGCTAACCAAAGTCCTGAATTCTTACTTGGAGAAGAGTTCAAAATTGCTTTAAAATACTCTGTTGTTAATAAAATAAATCAGCTAGGAGAAAGCATTTTAAAGTATGTCATTTTGTTTGTACTGTCTAGAGATACATCACCTTATGCATTGTTTTTCTTAGTATTAGAATAAAAGTGAGCAAATCTTCCAAACACTGAAAGAAGATTACAAGTGCATGTAAGAGCAGATTCTCTGTGAACAGTGAATAAACCATCAATGTTTTCATTGTTTTCAACCTGCTAAGGTTTTAACCTCATCCTTCATTATTGTTTAGGGCAGACCAACAAAAACATTAATACAAACATTAAGTTGAAGAAAGGGATTTTATGACATATGCATACCTATATAATCTGGTTTTACTCATCTGATAGGAAATTTCATCTCAATATTTGATTTATTTATTTTACTTATTTATTTGATTTAGACCATTTGAGGAAGTGGTTTCCCTCCCCATTACTGGAAATATGCTGTTATAACCAATAGCAATAGATCCCATCCTGCTTTATTTTCACATTCCTGCGTTAATATTACTGAAAGCAAAAGCTCATGTGGCTTGTACCACAGACAGCTAAAATGGAGATATAATGTCTCCCTGCTATGATGTGCCACATGAGAAGAGAGCATAAAAGAGTTAGCAAGTCATTGACAACCTCTGCACTTCTCTTTGTTACATTTTCTGTAGAGATCTGTGCTGGAATTTCACTGTGAAATGTTATTCTTTAAGGTTCTTTCTTAATAACTGAGCCCCTAATGACCAGAAGTATCAAGCAAGGTGTAATCCTTGTATGAATTAATGTTGTTTAGGAACTGAATTTACAGAAATAGGAGTATTATAGGCAAGAGTTCATTGTATCAGCTGCTCATAATATAGATGCACTGTTCCTATGTCAGTTCATGTAGCTGATAGCTGTGTCTCTGTTTATCAGCCAGAGTTAGCTCCTACTGCTGTGTTGGTTTTTGAATATTAATCTTACACAGAACGGTGATGGTAACTAACTAAGTCAGGTTACAGCACAGGAAGATGAAATTACTGTAGGTTTTATCTTTAGTTTTCATACCCTGAAAGTGAATTTTATGCTGAGAAATAGCAGTGTCACATCTATACATAAGTCTTGTATATAAGCTGCAAATTTTGAAGATGAGGCAGTCATCTGCTTTTCATAAACATTCTGCCCATAATGTAAAATAGTTTTTGACATGTGATGTGAGATGGTAGGATAATCCAAAGCTGAAATGAAAACAGCATCCTTAAATTAAGCTGACTTAATGCTGGATTTAAAGACATCTGTCTTTCCCATATCCCTTCCAAATTCCCAGTGAGTTTTATTTTAGCCTGCTTTCAGGGAAAGATGCAATTGCACCATCCATCTGTCAATGTGTATCTCTGTCTGCCAGTCTCCTTCTGATAACTTTTCATTTTTTTGGCCAGTTGTAATAACATCATAAGTCTTAAAGATAATTCAACTTCTATAGGTTTCATTTGTTAATGGGATGGGAGAGAAAACAACTCTCCTCTGCCTGGCACCTCTTTGCAGAGCACACAGGGGACAGCAGGGCACAGTGGACACGATGAACCTCTAGGAAATCTGGAGCAATTCTGCTGTTCATGGAAGTGGCTTTTCTAAATGTAGCTGTAATTTTTGTGCCGTAAGAGAGTAAGCACTGATTCAGGAAAAAGCGGAACAATAACATGTGTATCAACTCCTCCTTTGAGTTTCCTTTGTTCAGCTGATACCTGCCTATCAAAGATGGAGAAAACACTCCTAAACTAGATCTTCCAGTGAGATAGAAAATGGAAGTTTAGTATGACGTGTCCCATTCCTGTCTGCTTATTAAGCTGTGAATTTATTAAAAAATGTAAGACAATAAGTATTTTTTTTAAGCAGTACATACCACGAATGTTGTATCCTAGGGCATCCTGCAGCTCTGTAAAGGTATTTCCTTGCGCTCCAAACTGCAGCAGCTCCAAAGAAACAGCCACACTTGCTGGAGAGACTACCAGATTGGTTCTGTTCTCTGCTTCAGATATATGCCGGTAGAGATTGATGGCGAATTCAGTTTTCAGCTCTTTCAGCTCATCATAGGAGATGCTGTTTCCTTTGATTAAGCAGCAAGCAGAGAGGATAAATGCAGAGAAGGAAATGGGCAACATGAAGGCGAGCTGGGAACACTCTCCACCAGGTAATCACACCTGCAATTAATAACACAGATATATTTAGAAAAGTAATAGGCTGAGCTGACAGAGGAACTTTCTCATTCCATCAGTGCTGACATATCACTTGCAATAGTAACGATCACTATTAAAATACTTGTCTGGGTCTACTCAGTAGCTGTTGTCATTAAAAAAAAGAAAATAAACATAGGGACATGCTGATGACTCCATTGACTAACAAGGATCGAATTTTCCAGAACGCTGTAGCATACAGGATGGTTGGCCATTACAGAGCGCCTTGTCTCCCTTGTGTGGAGAAAAAGAGCCCCTTGGTTAAAATGTTAGCCACCTGCACACATGATGACTGCACTTTAGTGCAGTCTCCATGCTGCTGAGCACCCATAGCTCCTTTCTGTCCCCAGCACTCCCAGAAGAAAGGCCACCCGTCGTGAGGTGCAGAAATCTAACTGGACGCTCCAGGCTGGGCTTTAGATCCAAGTTTGCAAAAGGCTGGCTTCAAATTTCCCCCACAGATGTTCCTTCTACGAAATTTATCCCAGTGAAAATAAGGTTGTATTTGCAAAAGGTTCTGGTGCTTGCAGCACAAAATCACCATGTCAGATTTTTATGGGAAATCAAGCGTTGGTCAACTTTATATTAAGAGACACTTAGATTCATATTTAAAGGAATAATGCTAAAATGACAGAATATCTTTCCTTACAGAATTTCACCTTCTGAAGATTGTATGCAAGTATATTTTAAAAATTACTGCACCTTCTTTCACCTCAGGATTTTCTACAAATCTTTCTCCATGCCCTTTGCTCTAGAGAACACCTCTAATGCTTCGCATTTACTCACAGTTAAATTGTCTTGCCTTTCTGTGTCCTTCTGTGTGTCTGAATGGAAGCTGTCTATGAACGTCTTGTCTCCTTCTTTAATAGGTAGTGGAGTAAAGACTAAGTCATGAGACTGCATTTAAAGGGATAGTCAGTGATCAGAGTCTCTGTCGGCGATGTCTGTACCACTCTGTCCAAATTCCTGTAGGCTACAAGCTCTATGGAGAGCCAGGCAAAGCAGCATGCCACTGACCAGCAAATCCAAGGCAAGG